CCCCCCCCCTGCACCGGTGCCCGCGCCGTGCGCCCTCCTCGCTCCCAACTCAGTCTTCGTCGTCTCCCCGCGCCTCCGGGGCTCTCTCTGTCTGCCTGTCTGTCTGTCTCAGGGACTCTCGCGCCGCCCTTCGGAGATGAGATCCGGTTCGTAGCCCCAGGCCCTCCCGTCCCGCTCCCTCCAGGACTAGGCGGGGGCGGGGGCTACACCGGGCTGACGGACCCGCAGACGCACACATCCGCACTCGAGAGAGGAGCTGCCGACCTGTCACCCCGTCACCATGGTAACGCCTCCCTGGGCCTGGACCACCGAGCTCTGTCCTCTTTGGTCTGGCACAGCCCTCCCATACCCTCTGTGAGGCCGGGGTAGAGTCCCACCTCGTATGCTGAGCTGATCCTCAGTACCTAGCCTCGGGTCAGTGCTTACCTGTCCCCAGCCCCAGTAGGGGTATGGAAAGAGGGGGTGCAGGAACCTGTAACTAGTCCTGTCCTCTCTGGCCTCTTCATGCGCCAAGTGGATGCACTAAGATGGAATGGCTTGTAAACTTCAGGCTGCCTCAACCCATAGCACAGAGCTCGACTTGAACAGTTACTCTTGAGCCATGGATAAAACTTGGAGTCGTTTTGCATATGGATTTGGGGCTGACAGTATTATCCCAAAGTGGAATTTGGACAGGGAAGGAGGTCAAAGATGCCTCCCAGGGCAGCGCAGCAGTGCAAGGCAGGGAGGGTTAAGGGTGCCAAAAAGAGAGGAAAGAATTGCTTACAAAATCCTGGTCTGGCTTTGTGTGTTACACTTGGGTCTGGAATGTCAAATGTGTACATTGTCCCAATGTGGTGAGCTCCCATGGGAACTGCCTGGGGAGGGGTAGAGGGAGAACAGTACCTCCATACCTGGGCTTTCCCAGAGGGCACTCTGAGAAGGTGGGGATGCTGGGGGGAGTTGTGTACGTGTGCACTTGTGCTAATATCCGGGAACAAGGAATCAAAGAAAAGTCTGTTTTCAGAGGATCCAGCCCAGCTGCAGACAGGCCCAGGAGCGCAGAGGATTCACAGCAGCAATTTTCCAAATCGCAGGGGATTTGGAAAAGGGCTGTGAAGACAGGCCAGAACTTTAACCCTTAGTTGTGACCCACCACGGTGCATTTGTGTGTATTTTCAGTCACGTGTATATTCACATATAATTTTAGCTAGGCATGGTGGTGCACACCTGTAATCCCAGCACTTGGGAGGCTGCGGCAAGAGAATCACTGCAAGTTCGAGGCCAGCCTGGGCTACAAAGTGAGTTCAAGGACAGCTTGAACTGCTTAGTGAAACCCTGTCTCAAAAAGACAAAAAAACCCAATTCTATACAGAGATGTGTTCATACACACACATGCACATGTGCCTTTCACACACACAGCTTTGTTCACCTGTCATTCCACACTGCCAGCATATGGGCACACATCTGCATGCATATACACACACCACAGACGTACTGCAAAACCAGGGATCTGCATCCATACACCTGCAGGACACATGGACACACTCATTGTTCTCAGAGGTACTCGAAAACCACATCCTAAACTGGTGATGTTTCCCTCTCCCTACAGGAAGGCCCTGTGCTGAGTGCTTTAAACACAGGTGCTCATGTCACTTGCACCAACTTTAAGTGCAGTCTTGCGTGTATATCCACCCCACAGATGAGAACCCGATATTCTCGGAGTACAAGTCACTGACCAAAGCCACCGCGCCAGGAAGTGCAAGTTAGAATGGGCACTCCAGAGCCACAGCCTGTACCAAGTGTTCACCAAATCACTCCTGGTCTTGGACCTAGTCCAGTTATTAGTTTTAGAATCCAGAAATTACTCACCAAACCCCAGACCTTCAGATGAAGGCTCAAACACTGGGACACCCTTCACAAAGGTTGAGCAAGTCTTGCCCGAGTGGCAGATTTTCCTCCCTGCTCTGACTGTAAATGTTGAAGCCCACTCCTCTGATCTCACCTCTGTGCTCCGGCCATTCTGCTCTTGGTTCAGACCTCTTATGGTCCATGCTCTCGCCTACCCCAGGGCTTTACACATGCTGTTCCTGCTGGGAGGAACACCTTTATCTAAGAATTCCTGCTTACCCTGTGACTCTCCACCCAAACATTACCTTCTCAGGAGAGCCTCTCACAATTTCCCTCTAATGAGAGCATGTCACAGGTGTAATTTTCGTGGAATGATTTGATTAATGGATTTCTAGTGCTTGGAGCCAGCTCAGTGAGAGACTCTTATGCCAGTGGGGCTTCAGACACATCCATTTGCACATTTCCCCAATTTTAGTGTCATTGGAACATCTTTTAAATATACACTTATTGGATAAAACATTATAAGAAAATAAAATTTACATGGTCACTATTTTTCTTTAAATCAACTTATTTTATAAACTTAAAATATATCTGAGTAGGAAGCTTCATAAGTAGAAAGTAACTGTAAAAGTATGCACACTGAAGGGAGACCCACGTGGGTAACTGCTGGATGAGGCTGACTGCGGGCCATTCCAACCTCAGGGCTCTCCCTCTGTTGGAAGGGGCAATGGTGAAGTTTCTGAGGTGTCTTTGAGACATGGTGTTCCCAGTCTGAGGCTGTCTCCTTGGCGCCCTCAGGAGATCTGGGAGACAACTGTGTAGCTTTCTTGTGTAATTTTGCATCAAGTCCATGTCTACCCAAATTTGTCTTGTGGGCCACCTGCAATGACACATCCTACACTTCAGAAAAAATGGGTTCATTCAATTGGCTGCATGGAGGTTCCTGTCCAAGCCTCTGGTGTGTGCCAGGTCCTGAGTGCTCATGGTCCATATGGAGCAGGGGTCTCTTTACTGAGAGTTCTGGGCAGTGCGATGGGTGGTAGGAGGCTGTGCCTCTCCACCGCGCATATGTCATGAAAAGCTAAAGAAAAGGAAGAGATGCAGGTCCAGCAGGGCCGTGGAAGGTGAGGAGGAGCTTGCTCAGTCTGGGGAGGAGTATAATACAAGTAGAAAGAGGTGTGTGCTCAGGAAGTGAGTGCTTCCTTAGGGGGAGCCCCAGCTATGGGTTCTGGGGTAGGGATACTTTAGAATCCCTTAGATGAGCATTTTTTATTTTATAGTTTTTCATCCTAATGAGTATAAGGTAGTAATTAAAACAGCACAAATCATGACAAATAAATCTAAGTTGAAAACAAAGAGACAAAAAGGCAAACACTAAATGATACCTCATAAGTATTAAGCAAGGAACAAGCAAGGGTGTGTGAACATGGCAAGAAAACCTTGTGTCTAGGAGACACAGGTGATTGGGAAGCCCTGGGCTGGAGCATAAAATGCGGTTGGTTAGAAGAAGCAGGAAAGGCAAGCTGAGAGCTAACGGGCCACAGGCACCAGACCAGCAAGTTGTGAGACCGTAGAGAGCCCCTGACGTTGTTGAGCAGTGGAGGGTCACGATTGCATCTCTGCGTAGGAAAGCCCACTGTGATGGCCAAAGTGGAGCCTGGGCCGGTACTCAGATTCATGCCCCAACTTTATCACTTACTAACTGAGCCTTGGTCTCAGTTTTGTAAGCTGTAGTATGAGAACAAACCCAGCCCATAGAACCACTGGGGTGATAAAATAAAATAATGCATGGCAAGTGCTTAGCATGGGCCAGAGCCCAAACACTTGCTTGGGAAGAAGTAGCTTTAGTTGTAACTGTTACTGTTATGTGGCTTGGGTGAGAGACAGTGAGTTGGAGGGCAGAGGCAGAGGGAAGAGGGAGAGCAAAAAAACCGGCCTAAGGCTAAGGTTCAGAGAGGTGAAATGACTTGCTGGAGGTCACACAGATGATAGACGATGTGCTCTGACAGAGCTGGACTTGAACATGAGTCTTCTGACGGCCGCCCGCTTGTTGGTTTACTGTATCTGGTTTGTTTTTCCAGTTTTCAAAGTTTTTTTTTTTTTTTTTTTAATAAAGAGCCAATTCTTGCTCATACCTCCACCCACACACAAATACTAAAAGGGACTTAAAACAGCAGAAGTTTTAATTGGATGTGAACAAGAACTTTCTGGCAGCCAGAGGCTGATTTTAAAATCTCAGCCCAGACAAGTTCAAGAGGAATGGCCTAGGCAGTTGAGGCTGGATTGGAGGTCAGGCCCTCACACCTGCTGGGCGGCATCTGGCTCCCAGATGTATTTGGTTTGGCCAACCTTGAGAGGTTTTACTTAAAAATCAGTAGATCTGGTAGTGCTGGGCAGAAGCCACAGTTGGCCGATGCTGAGGAGGTGGAACATGCACTTGAGGTCCCACTGGTTCACTGGTGTTTGTAGCCGTGGCCGCCGGTGTAGATGCTCCTGAGGCAGCGAAATGGATGAGACAGACCTTTGAAACTTTCTCAACAACTGCGGATTAACTAATCCCATTTAGGATCCACGTCTCAGCCCCATACCCTCTTGACCCTGCCTTTATTTGACCTAGAATGCCCCCACTGGAAGAGGACAGATCTACTCAGTGTCTCCCTTTTACAAGTGGGGAAACTGAGGCAGGGTCACCTGTCGAGTCAGGGGCAGACTTTTACCTGCCCTGTGCAGTTCTGCCACAGAGGAAAGTGAGGATCAAAGGTAGTGAATGCTTCCCGGCTCAGCTTTGCTCAATCTGTTCTCTCTTTCCAAGCAAGGGGGCAGCTGATGCTAAGTGAGACTAAAATTTTTGTGTGTTGCAGTAAGTGGATAAATCTGGATCTGTAAGAAACGTTCAGCCCACATCAGGCCCAGCTAACAACATCTGGTGAGACCATTTTAAAAGGCCCCAGTCTTCAAAATATACAAAATCGCACTTTTATTTTCCCCCCAGTTATAAAAGCTATACGAGCTGGTTACAGAACATTTGGAAAATCCAGCAAACTATGAAGAAAATTAAAATGCCGCCTCAAGAGGCCCCTGCCACTCACAGCCCTTGGGGTAACTGCAGTTAACACTTTACTTAGTGCCCATTTGGACCGTGTCTGGGCTCATACACTTTCTGTAGGTCGTACTGTATGGAAATTCTTCATTTAAAAAACTGTAATAAAGAAGTGTTCTGGCACGCAGGGAGTGGGGGGAGGGGTAGAGTGGTGGAAATCTTTTGTGTATTGATCTGGGTAATGGGACAGGGGTCTGCATATGGGTGAAAATGTATCAAACCTGTGCATTTCATCTTTGTTTCATTTTGCTTGACTAAAATAATACTTATTTGATAACAGAAACTCATTGCAAAGGCATTAAAATAGAAGTATCTGAACACAGCTGCTTCCTGCCCAGACATCACCGCCGTGAGTAGCTAGTTTCCGTGTCCTTTGGCACCATTCGTGGGTCCCCATGTCAGCCTAGAAGATCATGAGCGTCATGCAGGGGCCAGAGATGGACTGGTTCTGCGGGTCCATGGTCCACACAGCAGCGCCCTCCGCCGGCCCCAGGTTGCAGAGGAGGGGGCTGGAGGGTGCCGTTGGCTCCTGCTGGGCTTGCCTTCTTGCTTTCAGCTTCACACCCTACTCAGCTGCTGCCGAGGAACAGTTAAAGCCCTGCCGGGCTGCCTCACTGGGAAGGAATGGAAACATGTCTATTAAGTTTCACGGAAATCATTTTGAGGGGCCTATGTCTGGCCGACAGTGTTCAGGCTCCTGTGGTGGAAGGCCAGGCTGCCAGGTTGATTTGGGATGGCAAGTGGCCAGTGTTCTTTTCTGCAGCCGCCCAGGCCTCCTTCATCGTGAACTTGGACACTTAGGAGCCCCTGGGGTTCAGGCCTGTGGCAGGTAATGCACTGGCCGAGAACAGAGTTCTGTTAACTTGGAGCAGTCCCGCATTCTACTGGCTGCCCGTAAATGGTTACAGTGTGTGGGGAAGTGAGCCAACTTGTGAAGGCCAACAGCGTCTCAGTCTGCGAGGCTTGCTCTTCCAGAGGTAAACAGTTTCTTTAGGCACCACTGGAAAGTGGGAGGCGCAGGCAGCTGCCCGGGCCACCCCTGTGGCTCATGACCCCGCGGCAGAGCAGGTAGCAAGAGGCAGCAGGAGGGCGCTGATTCAGCCGACCCAGGTCTGGGTTGGAGCCTAGGAGCTCTGTCTTTCTCCTTCTATCTATGACCTTGAGCAAGGTCAGCCTCTCTTTCTTTACCTGTAGAATGGGTGTCCTTGCCTGGTACCAGCACAGTAGTATGAGCTGAGAACGCAATAACAGGCCTGATGGATAGCAGATGCTTGGGGAACTGCTGTTATCACTGGGGTGACGGTAGCAGACTCACAAAGATGCCTGCCTTTGCTCAGGAGTGGGAACTGAGCTTCTGGGAGGGTGGGTAAAAACAGAAGACAATAAGAACGGCACCCGCAATGCCTTCTGCTTTTCTCAAGACCCTCTGTGTGCCTCAGTATCTCCTTGCACCTCCAGGACAACCAGCTGAACAGGATACGATAGAGACCGGAATTCCACTTACACATGGGGAAACTGAGGTACACGGAGGCAGACAGCACGTATGTCACTGTCTCCTCGAGGTTGGATGCTGCCGGAGTTAGGACATCAGATATATGAGACCACAAGTGGATGACATGATATGTAATTATAAATATATATAATAAGTATAAATATATTTATATAAATAAAATAAAATTCCCCCAACACACTGATATATTTGATTCTATCTGTACTAGTTGACACAGATTTTTTCCATTTATAGTGATGATGTGATGATAACTACAATAGGACCACAAAAACAACAATGATATTTCGTACTTAGTGAGCACCTACTAAATACTAGTCCTGTGCGTAGATTTTACATGTACAATCTCACTGAATCTCTATCAACTGTGTAAGTCAGGTACCATTACAATCTGTATTCTCTAGATGAGGAAACTGAGGCACAGAGAGTTCAGTAACTGTCTAGGTCAAACCACCAGGAGACAGAAGCAGTTTGAGCCTTGGAAATCTGGCTGAGAGTTTTATCTGTGTGTGCTTTTTTAAAAGATGACTCTGAAGAAAAACAGGGTGATAGTACACAAGGCATACGAAGCACAAAAAAATCATGAATATGACAATGAATGATTAACTTTTTCAAAACAAAACCAACTTCACCTATGTCAGTCTGCGCAGAGGAAAGAAGCCCAGGGAGGGAAGGGATCCACGCCAGGCTGCGCAGTGAGAGGGAAGCCAGGCGTGCCAAGGTCCGGCAGAGGAGGGACAGAATGGGGGAGGGGTGTGACAGGGGAGAGGCCCCGGCCTGGTGGACTTGGCATGCCTGTGTGCTCACGGAGGGCAGATGTGGTCCTCTGTCCCTTGTCCCACCACTGACTCAGGATTGCAGGGGTGGGCAGTGTCGGGGTCTGACCCTGTGTGGTGAGGCCTGGGGCATTAGAAGAGGCTACTAGGCCGGATGAGCATGTCCCTGGCCTGCCACAGTGAAGACCTTTTGTCCCTCTTGAGAACATGCACTGTGGACATCAAGTACATGGTCGGGGGACATCAGCAGGTCACCCCTCTGAGCCCATTGCCACACCAGGGCCAGGACACTCTTTCCTCACAATGGGGCTATAGACATTCATTCATGTTTCACTTACTCGTTCTGCCAATCGTGAGGGGGATCAGCCTTGTGCCTGGCCTTGCGTGAGCCACAGGTGGACAGGCCTCTGCTGTGTGCCCTCCTGACAATCTTGCTCAATTGAGCACTGCCCCATCCTCCTACTCCAGGTCTGTTTTATTTTTCTGTCTGTCTTCCAAGGCCTCGTTCATAAAGACGACCCTTCCCACCTAGTACGCTCTGCTTCTGTGGGGTCTCTCTTCATCTGCATCTGCTCAGCCCCTTAGCCAGAGGGCTCCCAGCCTGGCTTCCTTTCATTTCTTTAAGAGTTGGATGTCGGAATCCTCAGATCTCATTGCTGCAGCTGTTGGAAACCTCTGGCCTTGTCCAACTTGCTTATTTTATAGGTGGAAAATGTGGTTCAAGGGAGGACATGAGGTTCATCCTCCCCCACAGTGTACTGAGCACTTACTTTGCGCCAGCCTCTTGGCAGGTATGGAGGACCCAGAGGGAAAGAGGAGCCAATGTGAGCTGTGTTTTTATCACTGCTGTGACAAATGATCACACATGTACAAGCCTGCAGCAACACAGTTTTATTATCTTGCAGTCCTCTGGATCCAAAGGCTGACATGGGTCTGGAGGGGCTCACTTTGTAGTGCGAGCTGGGCTGTATTCTTTTCTGAGGAGAATTTGTTTACTTGCCTTTTCTAGCTTCTAGAAGCTGCCCACATTCCTTGGCTCTTTCTGAATGTTCAGAGCCAGCACATGGCATCTCTGTAATCCTGCTTCCATAGTCACATTCCCTCTCACTCTCCCACTTTTGGGGACTCTTGTGAGTACAATGGGCTATTTGTAGACTCCAGGGCAATCTCTCTGCTGTATGGCCAGCTGATGGTTCTAACGGCAACCTTGATATGCCATTGTCTGCAAGATAATGCAGTCACAGGTGCCAGAGAGTAGGATGTGGGCATCTTCAGGGCTCTTCTGCCTGGCACACCTACCATGGGGAGCAACAATCAGTATGGAAGCTACTCAGATAGGAGCACGGTAAGAGAAGAGCTCAGAAAGAGGACACCCAAGCCCTGAGCCATGTAGGGGGCAGGTTCGAGGTCAGAGAAGACCTGGAGGAGGTGAGGGATGACCTGAGCCTTAAAGGATGAAGAGCTGGGCAGGTGAGGAGGCAGGGGAAGAGGAAGGCACTCAGGGAGAAGGAACAGGGTAGGCAAAGGCCTAGAGGTGGATGAGGGAACACTGATGTCATGGTGGCCAAAGCTCAGAGAGGGGCAGTAAAGCTGAGGCCGAGCACAGTGACCAGATCGTTGGGAGCTGGATGCCTGGAGGCCAGATGCTTCCTGAAGGTAGCAGGGAGCCGTTTTGGAATGCTGAGCAGGGTCTGTTAAGGTCGGATTTGTTCTGGAGAAAGATCACTCTGGTGTCCTGGTGGAGGATGGCTGCAGTGAGGAAGATGAGGGGCTGGTGACCAAGGAGGAGACAATGCCCTGGAAGAGGGGGTAGAGGCCCAGCCTGGGCAGGAGGTATTGGTGAGCTCTTGGAGGAGGAGAGATGGCATGGGGCACGGCTGGAGGCTGTTGGTGAGTCAAGAAGTAGCTGAAGGAAGCAGTCCAAACAGCCTGAGTCTGCCTGGATGGGACCATCACTGAAGAGGGACACACAGGGAGGAGCAGGTTTGGGAAGTTGCTAAGTCGGGTGTGATATGTTGATGGTCTGTGTCTGAGTGACGGCTAAGGGAAGTTGTTCAGAAGGCAGCTGGGTGTACAAGTCTAGAGCTCTGGCTTATATCTGTCAGTTACTGCTGTGTAACAAACCACCCCAAACTCAGTGGTATGAAACAATCACTTAGTACCACTGACACATCTGCATGTGGACCAGGGGTGTCTGGTCAGCCCACCTTTTTTTTTTTTTTGGTTTTTCTCCGGTACTGGGAACCGAACTCACAACCTTGCGCTTGCCAGGCAGGCGCTTTGCCGCTGAGCTAAATCCCCAGCCCCTGGTCAGCCCACCTTTAAGCTGTAGGTCAGTCAGACGATGGGATTTGTGGAACTGACTTCTTTCCCTTGGACCCTGACCCATATGGCTCCTCCTCTTCCTTCACTCCACATCAGACCAGCAGATGGCATTTGCAGCAGGTAAAGAGATGAGGATGTCTGGTGGTATTCTAGGAAGACCAGCAGTGAGTGTCAGGCTCTGAGCTGGGACTGTACTTAGTGCATTTGAGGAACAGAACAGAAGGCCATCATGAGTGGAGGGGCAAATGATTCGAGGTAGTAGAAGAGGAGGTTAGAGACTTAGCAGGGCCTCTATCGACATGGGGCCTGGAAGGTCACAGGTAACAACCACTAGCTTTTTTACCACTGTTGCTATTACTTTTCATCCTCTCTTGTTCTCCACAGGACCCCCCATCCCTGGATGCAGCCATCCAGCACGTCCTGGCAGGCCTCTACCCTCCTTTTGAGGCCACAGCGCCCATTGTCCTCAGTCAGGTGTTCCGCCTGCTGGACTCTGACTTCCAGGGGGATGGGCTGAGCTTCCTCCTGGATTTCCTGATCCCTGCCAAGCGCCTGTGTGAGCAAGTTCGCGAAGCCGCCTGTGTAAGTCAACAGGGATGTAGAGCCAGGGGCCAGGCTCCCACAGAAGGTCAGGGGCTGGAGGGGAGCAGGGAAGGAACTGAGCTGCTGCGGTGTGGCGTGTCTCACAGGCAGCACTGAGGACATAGGGTGGTCTCCAAATGGAGCAGCAGGGTCACCTGGTCCTTTACTCTCTGACATCTAAGGCTCAGTGACATTTGTTCTTTCACCAGTACAGAGAGAAGCCTACAGATAGGCATCCTTGGGGTCTCCCTGACACAGAGGCGCCTGCTTGGGGTTGACATGTGGGCATCACCAGGCTGTTTTGGCCCAAATGGAGCAGCATCCATGGAAACAGCAGAGAATGTGACCAGGTTTCCCTGAAGTCCCCAGGCATCAAGCCTCTTGCTTTTGTCCCTGGAGATCCCTTCAAACCCATATCTCGAGGAGGCCACTTCCGGGGCAGAGGATAGAAAAATCTTTAAGGCAAGAGTTGGTGGGTGGAAACGACAGGATCCTCCCTTAGACCAGACCTGAGTTGATGCACCCATCAAACGCCTGAAGACCCTTTTCCCCTGCTTGCCAGCATCATTCCTCCAGGCTGTGTGCTCCCAAGCTGGGCCCGAGGAAGCTCCAGGATTACCTCCTGCCCTGGAAAGGAAAATGAACTCTTCCCTGGCAGCTGCAGATACAGAAATCTCAAGAAGCCAGGCATGGTGTCGTATGCCGGCAATCCCAGAATTCTGGGGGTCTAAGGCAGAAGGATCATAAACAAGCCCAGCCTGGACAACTTAGTGATTTAGCAAGACCCTGTCTCAAAATTTAAAAATTTTTAAAAATGGGCTATGGATGTAGCTCATTGTCAGTCTTCAGTGCCACCAAACAAACAAACAAACAAACGCCTCAAGGGAAGATCCTGATTGGCCAGGCTTGAATCACATGTCCATTGCTAGAACAATCACTATGGCCAGACGGATGGGATAGTAGCATTGGCCAGACTTGAGTCAGGTGCCTCCCTACCTTTGTGGCCAGGGGATGAGATGACTGTTTTAAGAAAAGGGTAGGGAGATCCCTGAGGGTATCAAACCCTCAGAAGGACAGGACAGGAGTTGCCCGCATTTCTCACGGGTTTACCAGCTGCTCCCTGCACTGCTGTTATTTAATGCCTATTCCCTGTCACTCTTTCTTAGGACCCCCAAAGAGGTTCTCAGGCCCCACTGTCCTTTCCTGGATTGCTCCCTGCATGTCTGGGTGGTAGCTGGTGAGGAGCAAAGTAAGGGTGGGGACTGTGTATGTTGTTCAGGAACCAGGTTGGAGATGGTCAGGAGCAGGCAGAAAGAGAGATCAGCTGTCCAATCTGCACAGCACAGGGCCCTGCACATCAGGATTCTCTGCACAGGAACTGGCCCTGAACTTCTCCGGGAAGCGGGTCCAGCCGACTCTGGGCTGGAATTATTTCATGCGGACCCTCCCCATCCTCATTTCCTCTCCCTGACAAGCCACACGACCACCACTTCTTGTACTGGGCCATTAAAACCACATTTGCCACGCTCCCTCCCTCAGTTCTCTCAGTGACAAGGTCACAGCCTTTCTGCACTTTTATTTTTAATTATAGGCAAACCCAGTTTGGCTGTACTTACAGGCAAATTCATGTCACCTCAGCAGGAGGTGCACTGTGGAATTCACAGCAGGGCATCTGGTGTCAGGTGCCCATGTTCGAATCCAGGCTTCATCACCATGCACCTGGGAGATCCATGTCACCTCACTGAGCTTCAGTTTCCTTCTGTGAATTTTAATAGCAGATTAGCTAAGGTACTGATGACACCACGGCTGGCCCCGGGCCTGGCAGCTGCAAATGCTGGTAGCTGTCACTGGTTTTCCCTGGCTTCCTCATTTGCCGCTTGCAAATTAGAGAGCCAGCTCAAGGTCTCCTCTCTGACTCCGTCACCTAAAGACACGCACCTTCAGATGCAGCCTGGCGGGGTTTGGGGCAGACACATCGCACTGCCACGAGAAGAGCTAAGCACAGTCCTGCATTTGCTACTTCTCAGCTGACTCTGAAGCAAGTTATTTCCCCTCTGTGAGCCTCAGCAGCTTGTGTGTAAATGAGAATAGTAATGCTTGAGCAGCATGAGTTACTATGAGTCAAACAGGACAAGCACAGCTGTCACCTCCTTGGTGCTTTGCTGGGAAAACCCAGGCTGGGCGGTTCAGTCTCATTTTTTTTTTTTTTTTAATTTTTTGTTTTTTGGTTTTTCTCCGGTACCGGGAACCGAACTCACGACCTTGCGCTTGCCAGGCAGGCGCTTTTGCCGCTGAGCTAAATCCCCAGCCCCGGTTCAGTCTCATTCTGTGAGAAGATGGGGGAAGCATGCTGTAAGACACAAGGGCTGCATGCATGGGGAGACATCGCTCACGCTCAGGAAAGAAGACAGACACGAAGGTTCTGGAAGCAGCCAGGTCCACAGAGCCACTGCTAGGAGCTGGTTTATCGCTTTGGGGACAAACACGGTCAGATCTCGCTCTTTTCCCCAACTGAGAACTTCGGGAAACACCTGCTCCCTTAGTCACTCTCTAGGGATCTTCCGCTCATGTATCCAAATTGTGTAAACCTGGCACTTACTCAAGCCAAAAGCCAGGCAGAACATAGGTGGGTACAGTTTCTCGTCACCGTTTGGTGCCACTGCTTAACACTGGTTCCGTGCAGTCATATGGAGAGGGGGTCGCTCAGGTCTGGCCTGCTGCAGGGCGACTTCCTGTGTCTGTGTATTTGGAGAGCTTCTGGTCCCTTTGTCTGAATATATATATATGCTTTGCTTCACCTGCCATATTCTTATCCACTAATGGCAAGTTAAATAAATGACAAACAAATAAACGATTAATCTTCAATCCTGGAATGACTTAAGTGTCAAAATGAGAAAGTGGCTCTTTCAAGGTGACCTGGTAAGCTAGTGGCAGGGCCAGATTTCCTGGCTTCTCGTTCAGTATGGTTCCTACTTCGTGCTGTAACTGCTCTACTTAAAACTAAAGGATGAAATAAAAGCAGCAAATGAATTTTTTATATTTTAACTGAAAATCCCCACAATTTTTTAAAGGGTAAGTGTTGTTAAAAGGAGAGGGGATTAATATTTATTGAACATTTACCTACTATATACCTGGTATTGTACTGGTTTTCATATCATTTAATCCTCATCCTAACCCAGCAGTAGTGACATGTTTTATTATTCCTATTTGCACATAGAGAAAGGAAGACTCAGAGCAGCTAAGTAATGCGCACAGCGCAGTTATTTGGACCTTCAACCTGGCGTTTTCCTGGCTTAATGTGGTGGGCTAAGCCATGAACTGGGTTGGGGGAAGTTTCAGATAGCTGGGGAGGAGGAGGCATGAGTCAGGCAAGAAGATCGGCATGGGAAAGGCACTTGCTAAGTAGCACCTGCTCTCAGAGCAGCCTCCCTTGGGGCAGCAGGCTGTTTTCAAGGTCAGGGCCAAGACTAGGATGAGGCAAGCGAGGCAGCCCTTGCCCAGCCCCAAGAGCGAGGGCCTCAGTGCCACGTCCTGGACACCTCTCTTGCCTCCTGAAATCCCCACTGTGTTGGGGATTCCACGTGGGAGGGGGAAAGAAGCAAATGTAAGGGTGAGATCCCTGATGTGTCCCCTTCCCTCTGCAGGCCCCCTATGCCCACCGCCTCTTCTTGCACGAGGGCTGGCCACTCTGCCTGCGGGATGAGGTTGTGGTCCACTTGGCACCACTCAATCCCCTCTTACTGCGCCAGGGTGACTTCTACCTCCAAGTGGAGCCCGGGGAGGAGCAGTCTGTCAGCATGATGATCAAATGCCTCTCCTTGGACCTCCGTACAGTGGACAAGAAGCCTGTTCCTGAGTCATCCCACCCTCTGCTTTTCACGCAAGAGTGGCTGGAGGCCATCAACAGTGACTTGGGGGGAAGTCCCCTGCACAACTGCCTGGTGGCTTCAGAAAATGGGATTGCCCCTGTGCCTTGGGCCAAGATCACCAGCCCAGAGTTTGTGGATGGTAGACCCCAGGCAAAGACGGTCCCTTCACCTGCCTGGGACTCCCTTCCACTGGAGGCACTTGATCTGCGCAGCCCCCAGGAGCTGCACCTGGCCAGTTCCCCAGGCAGCCAGGTGCTTTTGGCCCAGAATTCGGTCAAGGATTCAGGTAGAACATCTGGGAGCAAGTATCCAGGACTCATCAAGGTGGAACAATCCAGGTCTGGGGAGGTGGCCTTCAAGATGGACAGTGGGTTCCATCAGGGCTTAGAGGGAGACTACGTGGCTCTCCTGGGCTTTTCCCAAGAGAACAGTGGAAAGACTCCCAGTCAGGAAGTGGAGGCATCTAGTGGGTGTGCTTTGGGGGCACTAGGTGAACTATGTAGGACTAGGGAGATTCCTCTGTCTCAAAGGACATTGGCTCTCTCAGAGCCTGATGGGGGGCCTTCCTTGCAAAACTGGGATTCTGCAAAGCCAACAAACTCAGAGGAGGAGCTCTGCATTTTGGGACTGGGGAGAAAGGCTGAGCATAGAGGGCTTGCCCACAACTCAGAGCGACAACCCTACATTAGTGTTCCTGAGGAGCCACTGGACGGTGCCTCTGGCCTCTGGCCAGCTGGTTCAGAAGAGCCAGCTACCTCCAAGATGCAAGGACCTCTGGGAAACCCAGAGACCATGGTCCAGCTCAGGCCCGGACCGAGACAAACATCTTCTCCTTGCCTGTCCCCAGCTTCTCCTGTGGGCCCAGCCTCTGAAACCAAGGTGGAAAAGACCAAGAAGGGAGACAGGAGACTTCCCAAGCCCAAGGCCCATGCTGGTCAGAACACGTCCACTTCCTCCTTCTCTGGGTCTCCTACCGCTGGGCTCAAACCCTCCTTTTTGAAGGTGCAGAGGCGATTCCCTGTGCCCCAGGACAAAGCTTCACTCCAGCATGACCAGCCTTGGAGAGCCCTATCTTCACAGTATTCTTCTAAGCCACACCAAGCCAAACCCCTGGAGAAAGGTAGGGTGTCCACGTGTTCCTCTGGACAGTAGCATCTGGATGAGATCAGGTACCTCTGGCTCTGAGGGACAGGGATCCACCTGGGCTGGCTCAGTGTTAGTGCTTTAGTACGCAGGATAGCATGTTAAGGGCCTGGAAGTCTCAGGGGTCTGGAACTGAACAAGGCTGCATGACCCCAGCCAGGTAATTAACCTCTGTATGTTCAGATCTGTGCAATGGGGTGCTCACCTACTTCACAGAGATGCTTTAATGGTTCAAAGAGATACTGGAAGTAAGGAGCCAACACAATGCCTGGCTCGTAGGAAATTAATGGTTGTCAGAGGGTGAAAGACAAAAACATTTTCCCCTCAGAAAATCCATCTTCTGCTTAACATCTTTTTCTTTGTTATTGCTTTTGCCCAGATGGAACAACTCAGACAAAAACATCTGGCCCTGTTGCTGACTCAAGCCTACTGTCTGGGAAGAAAGCTGGCTTCCCAGAAGCTGCGGCAGGCCCCCCAGAAAGAGCCCCTGGCCTGGAGGAGGAGCCCCCAGGGCCTGAGCCCAAGATCGAGACTGTGGGTGCTGAGGTCTTCCACTCCAGGATAGCCTGCCTGCCAGGTTCTGGGGGACTATCAGGGGTGGGTGGGAGTGGGGTGGGGATGGCTGGAAATCCCAGCATCTCCTCAGATACTGGTGGGTAAGGAGGGCATGGGAAAAGCCCATAAGGCCAGTGTTTCATCTCTGAGCCTCAGTTTCCTCATCTTTCCATGAAGGAATCGGATTAGATGAAAACACTTGGTAGGTATCCATCTATCCATCTGTCTGTTCATCTGTTCATCGTTCTATCCATCCACCAGATTGCAGTGAGAGCTAAGGTGGCTTCTAGAGCAGAGGTGGAGATGTAGATCCTTGGGAATGTGATTTATTGGAGGAGAGCTCCTGGGAGAGCACAAGAGGGAAAGCAGGACAGTGCCGCAGAAGGAATGAGCAAGGCTGTGGTCTGACCCTAGGGGGAGCTCTGGAGCATGAATCACACTGTCCAGTTGGCTCCATTTTACGGTGTGGGGGCCTGGCTTTGTTTTTTTACAACTGGTCAGTCACTAACTGTGGGCTGATCTGGGTGTGTCAGTCATTACCTGCAGACTGAGCCTAGGTCTGCCATCAACCATAAACCGATCCTGAGTGTGTTAGTCATTAACTCCAGGTGGATCCTGGGTCTGTCAGCCATCAACTGAAGCAGCCTGGAACAGGGCTGCAGGGTGAGCCAGTGATCCAATCCAGCTAAGGGCAGTTCTTCAGAGAGCAGGCACCTGTGAGCCATTTATTGTCAGTTCTTCCAGCCTCTAGGGGATGACTGCTCTGCCTGGCGGGCTTTTGGCAAGAACACTAACTCCATCCAATCCTGAAAGTGCTATTATTCCTGTTGAATTTTATTCCATAAGAACTTACTGATCCCTGAACTTAGCACCGGCGATTTATTAGGGAACAAGTCTGAGGTGCTCTTTGCCTTCAGAAGACCTATTTTTTAGTGGTAGAGAAAATTCAACAGGTCAGAGCAACACAATGTATTGTGACAACAGAGAAGGGCAGGGGCTGTGGGAGCAGAGTTGGGGTCCCTGGCGCAGGCTTCTGGTGGGGAGAGGTCTGGGAAGGCTTCCTGGAGGAAGTAATATAAAGTGCAGTCATAAAGTCTGAGTTAACCAGGAGTCAGAACAGTGTTCCAGACCGAGGGAACGTGTGCTAAGGTCTGGGGACACAAGAGACCTCAGCGCCTTTTGGAAACTGTCCTGCAATTCCATTTTATTTCATACATCTCGGCAGGACCCTGGGCACGGCCCTGTCTTTGCAGCTCCTAGGGCTGCAAAGGAGCAGCCTCCTAGGGCTGTTTACATTGTCTTGCAGCTCCTTGCAGCTCGTGGGGCTGTTACATTGTCTTTTTCCTTGTCTCCTTGTTGGAGATTTGTTGAGTGTTTCAGTGGTTGTAGGTAACACCCTATTCACCCCTCAACTCCTAAACTGTGCTCCCCATTTCTACTGAGATGCCTGATGCATAGCCCAGTGTGGACACCAGCATCTTGAGTACGGTTCTGAGGGCCTAATGATCTGTTTCTGGCACCAGCTGTTAGGCAAGGGCAGCATCTAGGACAGTGGGGCCATCAGGGGTGCAGGACTGGCTGTGTGCAGAGCCCTGACCGGGCCGGGCCCGGTGGGGAGCCGCACCCACACCCTGGCCTCATGATCACTGAGTCCTGGGCGGGGGTGTGGCCTGAGTGCTTGGCCCCTTTCTATTCAAAGTGTGGTCTGGGGACTGATGACCTCACTGTCACCTTGGAGCCTGGGGAGGTGCAGAACCAGGCCTGCTGCTCAAGTCTGCATTCTAGCAAGATCCTGGCACATGTAATTTGCAACGTCATTCTAAGCCTGCATTGCTAGTCAGCCCAGCACAGGCACTGCGATCTCATCGGGTCTTGTGCGGAGCACAGCGGGCAGCAGTTGGCCCCTGAGGACACCCTGGAGGGGCTCTTAGTCCTCCAGGGTCTCAGAGAGGCTCATGTGTGCATGGGAGTTGGGGCGGGGACAGGCTCTACAGAGGGGAGGGACAAGGGGTGTCTTCCTGGAGGAGGTGGCATCTTGGTGGACATCGGGAGCCAAAGGGGTTTCACCCGATGTAGAAAGGAGGGAAGGGTGGACTTGGAAGCTGACCAGGATGAGTGAAGGTGGGAAGGGGGAGGGGCTGACACATTTAGGTGTGACAGGTGAGCCCTGCTGGTGGGGCCATGCTGGTGGGGACAAATGTACCAGTTTGCTGGGTCAGCCGTAGCACAGCAGCAATGATTTCCGCACTGTCCTAGAGGCTGTGCTCACTCCCGGTGGGAGAGTGAGGCACACAGCCTCAGGCCCCAGAACAGGACGCAGCCTGTCGAGAACGCATGGCTGGAAGGGTGCAAGAGTAAACAGTCGTGTATCACGGCTTCCATTCATCCAGCCCTTGCTGTGTACCAAGCGTTTTTGGGAACTGTCTCATTTCATCCTCAGAGCAACCTGATCGGCTCGGGATTGTCTCATCTAACCAATGAGACTGCGGTGAGAGAGGCCCAAACTTCTCCAAGAACACACAGGGAGACAGGGCAGAGCCAGGCTGCACGGCACTGGCTGTGTGACCTCAGAGCTCATCCCATAAGCTTTGCCTCCCAAGGTGCCCTCTGCAGAGGGATCCCAGGAACAGTGAGCTGCCTCTGTGTGGAGGAAGGACTCAGAAGACCTTTCTGAGAAAGTGGTTTTTCAGCTAAGTCTTTGAAGGATGAATAGGAGTTCAGAGTTCCAAGAAGAGTAAGGAGATTCTAGACAGAGGGATCAGATGGGTAAAGGTCTGGAGACCACAGAGGAGGTTCCTATGGACCAGGGTTCCACGTGAGTTCTACATACTCATGTGCATTCTTTCTCCTCCAGGTGGTCGGGACAGAGCAGGGCGACCCCTCCTTCTGGTGTCAACTGCAGAGGAGGCCTGGAAGGCACCATGGTGCACAGCCTTGGAGGTCACTAAGTTGCTGTCCTACCTGTGCAGCATCCCCAGGTAAGGATCTGGGTCACCCTGACCACTCCATCCTCTCCTGGACCCTCTCAGCCCAGAGCTCCCGACTAGGCCCAGTGGAGAGGCCCTATGTCCGCCTGTCCAGTGGGGTCCTCCTGGAGCCTGGCCTGAGCCAGAGGGACCGTACAGGAAACCCGCCGGGGACAGCGCCTTTCGGGAAAGTTCGTGTGGCACTCAAAAGAGATGTTGGCATCAGTGGTTCTCAAACTTGAGCAAGCGTGGGAGTCACGAGCAGGGGCAGAATTCCTCACTCAGCACATCTGGGCCAGAGGACCTGAGAATTTGCTTTTCTGACGAGTCTGGCCTGGGGAGACCCCACTTTGAGAACCCCCATTGTACTGGAAAGAGTGAGAGGGCTCATTTCAGCTGGAAAATCTGGGAAGGCTTCCCTGAGACGGTGACAAGCAAGCTGTTATCTGAATTATAAATACTTGTGAATAAATGAAAGGGGAGAATGAGTGAGTGAGAAAAGTAAAGGATGAACGGGAGTGAAGGACGGTGAGGGATGATTCTTCACACCTCTCCAGCTCCTCTCCACCACTACCACCGCCCCCATTCAGACTGCACAGTGACGGACAGGAAGGGGCGGCATCCTTTCCTTCACAACCCAGCTCGAGCCAGGACGGCCTTGGCGTGCTGTTACTCAGGCTGCAGCTGCAGGCCCCCAACCCAGCCGGGAGTTCAGCTGCTGAACTCTTCGCCTTCTCTCTGCCATCACTGCACCTGCTGGCCCCTGAGATTTGTCTTCCCCTTATCCGAGGCAGGATGGCTTTTCTAGCAAGGGAGAAGTGCTGAGAAGTGACCGCTGTGGCTGACAAAACCCAGAAACTCACTGACTTGCTGTGTGACCTTGGGGCAGTAACCTGTCTTCTCTGAGGCTCGTCTGATAAAGGAGATGATCAGTGCATTCCAAGGACAAATGGGGCCACAGGTGGCAGGGATGAGGGGACCAAACACTGTAAAATAAACTGTGGGGTGTGGTGCATAGTACGTTCCGGTGTGCTGGGCTCATGCTCTGAGCAGACGTTGGCCAGGTACCTGCCAGGGCCCAGCTTCATGCCGGCTGGGGCCAAGGACCCAGGGCTTCCATACATCGGGCCCTACCTCCAGGGGCCTCCAGTATGGTGGCAGAGATAGGTCTGCAGACAAATCCCTGTTCCAGCACAGGCATAGAGGAGGGCATGGTGGGGGAGGTGAAGTCAGAGACCTTAGAGCCACCTCTCCCTGTCCACCACTTCTCTCTCTGTGCCTCAGTTTCCCCTTCTAGGACAGTAGCAGCAGCAAACATTCACATCCCTCTCACTCTATGCAGTGGCTGGGTGCTTTACATGAACTCATCAGACCGCACTCTGCCCCACCAGGGTGGCACCATTAGTATTCACTTGACTCAGGCAGAGAGAGCAACTCAGCCAGGTCACCAGATACTGAGGACAGCGCCACGGCTCTGCCACCCTGTAGACACCGCTGGCTTTGTCTATGAACTGGGTGATTGTAAGGCTTGAAGGGAGTTGGGAGTTATTTCCCAAACCTCTCTGATCATCAGACTGGCCACGGGCATTGGCGGCCCCACCCAGACCCCTTGGCCCGCATGCTATTTGCTGACCAAATGCTGGGAGTGGCATGGGTGTGGGGTATTTTAACAAGTCCTGGACCAGGGTGGGAAATCCTGAGGAACCACTGCAAGGTAGCCCGCCCTCAGCCCAGCTCACAAAGCTGAACCAGCAGAGATGTTTTGACTACAAGTCACCAAGATTCCAGTTCAAAACATCTTATCCACTTAGGAAATGTATCATCTTATGTCTTTGCCTTCTAGCTCTTTCTAAGAACTTTTTAAAGGAGAGGATGTCTCCCTCTCAAGCCCCCAGCCATTTCTCCTCATATCTCATTGGACAGCAATATATCACATGACCCCCATGTTCCCAGTCATTGGCCAGGGAAATTAGGTCACTAATGTGGTTTCCACCAATTAGAAACCACTCTTGGGTTGGGCATGGTGACACACACCTATAATCCCAGCCCTCAGAAGCTGAGAAAGGAGAATCACTTTGAGTTCAAGGCCAGCCTGGGCTACATAGTGAACTCAAATCCAGCTTGAACTACACAGTGAGGTACTGTCTGAAAAACAAAACAAAACAAAGACACCCTTGGGAGATACGGCTATCTGAAGGCAGAGGGATCTCTAGAAGTCCTAGACGGCTTCCTGGAAGGGGCATTGGGGCTTGGTCTTGCAGGATAAAGCAGTTCATCAATCAAGCAAGGCCTCCAGCCATGTTTCCCTGTCATCTACTAGAGCCATCTGCCTAGTGAACCCCAAGCTACCCAGCAATACTGCTACTTCTCTTTCCTACCCACAGGCCAGAAGATACAGCCAAGGGCCTGGTGGTTGTGATCGATGCCAGGAAACAGCCGCCACAGTCAGCTCTGGTCAGTGCCCTGCAGGCCACCCAGGTGAGTTGGAGGTGAAGCTCTACCAAGTCTTGGTGTCTTGGTTAGTTTTCTCTTGTTGCTGAGACAAAATACGTGATGCCCAGAATTAAGGAAGGAAAAGTTTATTTAGCTCACAGTTTGTGGAGGTTTCAGTCCATAATCAGCTGGCTCCAAGGCAGAGTGGCACATGGCAGAGGGCAACAGGTCATGGTGGCAGAAAACAGCAAAAGCAACAAGTGCAAAAAGGGAGGACCAGCAAGAGTGAGTCTCTTTCCCTCCCTTATATTGTATGCAGGCTACCCGCTGTCACACCGATATTCCCAGCATTGGACCATGAATCAATCAAAAATTCTAGAAGCCCACTCCATCACTGCATGAGGCTTTGGGGGGACATCCAGACACAAATCATAACACTTGGCATCAGTAGGAACTCGGACATGCCTATAGTCTTAGGGCTCTGGTTGGAACCAGGGACTTTTAGTGGCAACTAACGGAAAACCCAGTGCAAACAGACTTAAAGACAAAGGGAGTTCCCTGATTGTAACTGAACAGCCCAGGAGTCAAATGCAGCTTCAGGTACTGTTTGACCCAAGCACTCAAATACTGTCACAGGATGTGGTTCCTCTGTCTCCATTTGTGGCCCTGTCCTCCCGGGAGGGGACTATACTCTCACAATCCCACTGGGCCAGCTTGGCGGCAGTATGACTCCCAGCAGCTCTTAATACACATGGTTCCATTTAAATACAGCAGGAAAGAGTGAGAGATTCCAGAGATCCCAGCAAAAGTTTCTTGGTGTCCATCAGTCCTGATTACTTTAGATATCCAGCCCTCCACCAGTCCCGGTGGCCAGAGAACGCAGCCACTGATTGGCTCAGATGTGGCTCAGCTGGACCTCCTGAACTGAGGAGGGTGGAGGGAAGAGGTTCCTGAGTAGCTGTTACAAGCAGCAGGGTGGATGAGATTTGGTATATGCTCGCCTCATGGTCTGACCTCCTCATTGCGTAGATGGAGAAACTGAGGCCACAGGGGTGGGGCATCTGGGAAGGAAGCTTGGACCTGCTGCCTGCCCCCTCCAAATACATCGCACAAAAGCCTGGCCCTGGGGGATCCCACGCTGTGCCTCGGCCACTCGCTGCATTGTTGGGGATGGGCGCTCATGAGGGCTTGGGCAGGGCACCCCTGAAGTGGCTCTCCCTGGCAGGCTGTGGCCCCAGCCTCCTTCAGCGCACTGCTCATCCTGGGGGAGAAGGAGGACGCTGTCCCGCTGCAGGTGTCACTTGACATCCAGGTAAGCACAGAGCATGGGAGCGGGAGGGAACTTGTTGGGCGGAGCTGAGTGGGGGAAGGGACATGAAAAATTGCGGGAATCGGGAGCTAGAAGAGGCCTTGAAATAATCGAGTGTAGGGGAAAAAAATACAAGGCCTGGTGCCACCTCTCCAGTGCTGTCTCCAAATCAGGTGTCACCAAATCAAGCAATGGATTATGAGGTGTGATCAGAATATACGGTGAATGTTTAAATTTTTAAAAATTTAAAGAACAGTGAAAGACATATTGCTATTAATCCCCCTCAACCACCCACCTTGCTTTGAACACACTTGTCCCATAATTCTTGCCACTTTCTGAAGCAGTTCTGGAAGTCTCTCCTGAGTGCCTTTACCAAGATGAAAAAATACAGTGCATGCTGCTGCCAGGTGCCATCCAAAGGAAAGGCAGCCTCATAGAAACACGGTGTGTTGTTACCCTTCTGATTCGCTGGACCTGGCACTGTGCAGCTTCTGGTTCTTCCCTAAAGTCAGAATTACTGGAAGGTAAATATTTTGAATTAATTCTGGACAGTGAGGGAGCCACAATAGGGCAACTGGACACATACAAAAGAGGACCTCCAGAACTGCTTCAGAAAGTGGTCAGCATGATGGGATAAGTGTGTTCGAAGTGAGGGGAGGACTTTGAGGAGAATTAATGGCCATGTGTCTTTCACTGTAATAAATTATTTTGATTTCAGTGTTCACCTTAGTGTTTGATCGTACTCATGTGTCTCTCTAGTCTTCTCAGCAGCTCCTGGGGGACACCACCCAGTGACTGAGAGTTGCACAAGGCAGGAGACCTACTTGAAAAGCTTCTTCTAGTCAGCTTTCCACCCCCCATTTTACAGATGGGGAAACTGAGGGTTAAAGCCACCGAGCAAGCCAGAGCTGGAGTCTCCTGTCTCAGGGCTCACGCTCAGCCACCCTGTGGTCTCTGCCTGCATTTCTGTCCTGAGTTAATATAAACATGGTTGACTTGGAACTTTATGGGAAGGAGCCTTGGCTTCCTTTAATTAGTGCTGTGTCCCACCAGAGTGAATGTGGGCACGAGCCCTGCCCCGCTTCGGGAAGTGATTCACAAGGTCTCCTTCTCTCTCCAGGTTGATTAAGGAGGCACAGTGTGAGCTAGAGGTGTGCTTTTCAAACCCGAGTGTGTGTAGAACCTCCAGATTGATTGCCCAGAAAGCAACTCCTAAAACGACGCCTCAGCCCCCTCTGTGGTGTGATGGTGCTAACGGCCCCAGGACTCTGCGTTTCTTTTTTTTTTTTTTGGTTTTTCTCCGGTACCGGGAACCGAACTCACGACCTTGCGCTTGCCAGGCAGGCGCTTTTGCCGCTGAGCTAAATCCCCAGCCCCGACTCGCCAGCTCTGTTTTTGGGTTTTTTTTTTTTTTGGTTTTTTGGTTTTTCTCCGGTACCGGGAACCGAACTCACGACCTTGCGCTTGCCAGGCAGGCGCTTTTGCCGCTGAGCTAAATCCCCAGCCCCGACTCTGCGTTTCTAACATGCGCAGAGGCAGTGGTGGTGTTGCTGACCCACAAGCCACACTCTGAGGAGCAGGGATGACAGAGAGGTCTGAAACCCCACAGAATCAGCCCCATGCAGCCCTAGGTCTCTGAGCTATTCTCAGCGTAAAACTGAAACTTCACTGCCTGGGAGAAGCCATCACTAGCCCCTTCGCCGTGTCTTAGGGGACACTGTGAAGATTGGTGACCTTTCCCATCCATTCCAAGGAGGAGGCAGCACCCTGGTGCGTCACCAGAGAGCAGTGCAAGGATTATAGGGAAGTCTTATCACAGAGCCAGCTTTGATCAATTTGTGTTATTTCCTGGAGAGCTATGTTGGGAAAAAGCTAAGCTCAGAGGGACTAGGTGCTGCAACTGATTAATGATGTCTGCTTTGGACACAGGCTGGCAGGGTGGTGGTGTATTTGCCATTTCTTAACCAGGGTCTGGTTCTGAATTTTGATTTTTCTGAGCTCATAGAGCTGGATTGGTGCCAAAGCAGGGATCTAAGCAGGACCTTGTCAAATGTCTATCTTCACAGAGTTCTCTGGTCCTCCTGAATCACTTCTTTTGTCTGCAGGTGGAGGTGCTGGCCTCGCTGAAGGCCCTCAGCCACCATGTGGACCCCAGCCAGCTGCCCGCAGCCCTGAACGGCTCCTTCCCCTACTGCCACAGCGAGTGGGTGCAATTCTTCCAGGTGTCTACCCTCACAGCCTTTAACCCTTCACTGTCACTCTTTTTCTTCTTCCCTTCACTGTCCTGCTACAAGAATTTGTCAACCCCATTGAGTTCAAACAGATACTCATGCAACAAACATTTATAATGAAGGTGCAGAGTGGAATGAGTAAGAGTTCAGGCTCTGGGGCCAGACTGTTTGGGTTCTAATCCCACTCTGCTGTGTGACCTTGGGTGAGCTACTTACATCTCTGAGCCTTGGTTTCCTCATCAGTGAAATAGGAGGGTAATAATATTACCTCTTTGTGGGGTTTTTGTGAGGAGTGAATCAATGTGGATATTTAGAAGAGTGTCTGGCAATGCTCTGAGCCGAGTCAGTGTTAATGAAAGAAGATTTATAGGCATCTATTCCATGGACCCACACAACTCTGGGAGCTCAGGATGAACTGAGGGAGGCAAATATGCAGCCTCCTGTCAGAGGGAGGAAACAAGGAAATTGCTGGTGCTGGGCTCCTTCCCTGCCTGGCCGCAGCCCCTCCCAGGGGCCCCAGCACCACCCTGACAGGGGCCCTTCATATGCAGTTTCACACAAGGGCACAGGGTGGGGGTGACTTGCCTGAGGATACATGGAGGGCAGCAGCTACAGACATCCGCCTGGGGCCCGCTCCAACTGGGGCCCAAACGTAGCCTCTTTTTACGGCTGTGTCTGGGTTTGAGCAGGCTGGACAGTCGGCCCAACATAGCTGTGCGTTTCACAACCAAGCACTCAACCAACTGCGGACTGAACACATTTGAAAACAAAAACTGCATCTGTGCCGAATGAACGCGTACACACTTTCTCTTGTCATTACTCCCTAAACAATGCAGCGGAACAACTATTTACATAGCATTTACATTCCATTAGGCGTCATACGCAATCCAGGGATGATTTAAAGTACACGGGAGCTCGTGTTGAGGGTGTGTGCAGATACTCCATCATTTACACGATGCACTCGAGCATCCTTGGAGCTTGGTGTCAGTGGGGGTCCTAGACCCATCCCCCTCACACGCCAAGGGTGACTGTGTCCGAACTGCCAGTGGTGGATCCTGAGAAACCTCCTTTCCTACTTGTTCCCAGGCTCCATTTCCCATTTCTAGAGCCCTCCAGTTAATCCAGTAGCTTCTGAACTACACGCAGCTTTCAAAGCTTTCCTCCCCATGAACTCTTATTTGGACCAGAATATAAAGCTGATGGTGGTGACAAATTCTGGTATGCACTGGGCTGTAAGTGCCATGAGCAAATTAACCCACTGAATCCTCACGCACCGTACGAGACATGAACTACGGTGATCCCCATTTCATAGAGGAGGAAGCAAAGGACCAAAGGGCTAAGTAATTTACTCAGGCCCTCACAGACCAGGCAGAGCCGGGCTGAAGTGGGACTGAGCCAAGGATATGGTCTTCTCCCTGTCTTTCCCCCTCCACACAGTCTTCCTGCTGGCCTCAGGGGCGTCAGCCCAATGTGGGGTCCTCCAGGCCAGCAGCACCGTCATTTTCTAGGAACTTGCTAGACACACATTCTTGTGTCCACCCTAGGGCACTGAACTCTGCCCTGTGGGTCCTCCTGGGTGGGGCCGGCAGCTCCCTGGCTGGGTCTGACACCCGCTCTGGCCTCTGTCCTGCAGAAGTTGGATCCTTTCCTTGCTGAGCTTCACCGGGCCTCCTCCCTGCTGCAGGCTTCCATCGAGGAGTTTGAGAAGGGTGACCCCCCTGGGGGGGTGCAGGTGAGGCTGGGGCACGGGACAGGGAAGCCATACGACACCCCAGCCTTTACAGACCAAGCTCGGTGAGGCGGACAGCCAGGGTGGGCAGAATCATCTTTGTCTTTCATTCATCCACTTGGCTGATATTTGTTAGGCACCTGCTGGGCCAGGCTGATTCACCTCTGCCCTGGCAGAGCTCACAGCACAGGGGTACAGGCGGTCATTACAAAGCAAACCAAGAAATGGACAGGTAATTATGGATTGTGCCCAGGTGCCATGAAAGTAAGACGGAGAATGACAGGAAGACGGTCTCTCTGAAGAGTTGCCTTTGAGCTGGATGGAGCTCCAGGCAGAGGGTAATCATGTGTAAAGACCTTGACACAGGGTGAGGCTTGGCAAATACAGGAACAACATGGAGACCAGTGCGGAGCAGAGTGCGCAGGAGGGAAGAAGAGAGCACTGAAAGCTCTTCCAGCTCCAGCAGGGACCAGCTCCTGGAGCTGGGTTCGGGTTCCATCATAAGTGGGCAGGAAAGCCACTGGAGAATTTCAAGCAAGGGGATGATCAGATTTGCACTTTTTGATCTTCTCAGTTGACATGTGGAGAACAGACTGTAGGGGGAGCCAGAGGGCAGCAGGGAGGTCTGTAGCAAAGAGGCTAGAATGGGGTGACCCAGCAAGCGATGGAGCTTGGAGCAAGGAAGTTGCCATGGTGATGAGAGGAGGAGTGGCTTGAGGAGACGCACTAGAGATAAATGGGAACTTTCTGGAGGAGCTGGGGAAGTTGGGCTTGATCTTGATGTGGGGAGCCCAGGAAGAAAGTGAGGATTGGGCCTCAAGGTACCTCCCTGTGCTGGCAGGAGGCTACCAGTTGTCTGAGCAAGTCCAAGGAGCTGATGGAGGCTGTGCTGAGAGACCCGGGCCTGCTGCACCTGCAGCAGGAAGGTGGGGCCACCCTGGCCAGGCTGCAGTGTGAGGCCAGCAGGCTGGACTCTAGCCCTGACATCAGGTACAGACATCTAGGCCTTTCCCTTCCCCACTCCTCCCTATCCTCTAGCCTGGGAGCTACAAGGTGGGGGGCACCAGCCAAGGGGACATGTAGATTGGGCCCATATCATGCACTGAAGCCCCATCACATGTCCCCTCCTTGGGTCTTGGCAAGTCCCTTGGGTTTCCCTGCATCCCTTCTTCCTCCTTGGCCATGTTCACCCTAGGGCGGGCATCGGATGAGATCGCCCAGCTTCTACTCACCCTTGTGGACTAAGCCTTTCTCGGAGGCACACTGGGCCAAGCCCTCCAAGTACCCATCTCACTCATTCCTGGCAAGAGCGCTGTGAAGCCTGCACTGTCCTCATTTGGAGGGTTATTACTGGGGGTGGTTCAGTGAGGAAGTAGTGGCCCATGGGAGATCTGAAGCCAGGGCATCTGAACATGTAACCTCCACGCCCTGTGTCCCCACCACTGTCAGCCGGACAGAACTGCAGTGCTGGGGGAGGACAGAGTAAATGATAGATACACCGTGCCCTCAGGTTAGGGGTGGGGGACAGTCAGTACAGTATAAGCAGAGCCTCCCCAACCTGAAAATCAACTCCAAAATGCTCCAAAATCTGAAATATTTCCAGTGCAAGTGGAAAACTCGTGCCAAAAATTATTAAAAACATTCTATAAAATTACCTTCAGGCTGTATAGAAGGTATATATGAAACATAAATAAATCTTGTATTTAGACATGGGTCCCATCCTTGAGATTTCAAAATGTGTATGCAAATATAGCAAAATACAAAATGAAAAATTTCAGAAATCTGAAACACTTTTGGTCCCAAGAGAAGGAGTAGTGGATCTGTGATTAAACTGGTCAGTAATTTGAAATAAATTCTCTATTAAAACACAGCTGCTTATGTTCAGGAGTCGAGAGCAAAGTTTGGATAAGCTTTTAAGAACAATTTGTTATTGAACACCCACATAGCATTCAGGACACATACAGCGTTGTTCTGAGGAAGGGCAAATCTTAACTCCTGCAGCAGATCCCAGTATCATCCTCAGGTTGCCATGGAGGCGCGTGAGAGTCCAGGACCCAAGTGACTGGCACGGGGTCACACAGAGGGATGTGGTGGGACCAGGACTTGAGCCCAGACACCCTGGCCCCAGTATCTTGAACATCTCCCCTTGGGCTGCACCCTGCACTCGGGACAGGTGCACCCAGATGGGAACCCGGGCAGCACCGGGCTCGGCGCCCTTCTCAATGCCTGGTGCAGCTGGCATTATCCTTCCTCTGCGTGTCCCCGCCTCACACTTCCCAGCCCAGCCCTGGCTCGCCTTGGTCACTGCGGACCCTTGGCGCCTTCAGCTCCACCAGGGGGCGCTGTGGGCCCGTGCGAGCCGCTGCCTGTGTTTGTTCAGCGCGGGACCTGGCTGGGCTTGCCGGTCCCTCCCATCCCTTCCTCTCCAGCCTCCCGCAGCTGGCATTTTCCGTCCATCCGCTTCAAGCACTCTAAGCCCTCACCCCTTTTCCAGAAGGTGGAGACCTGTGGGAAGATGCAGTCAGACGTGGAGGGCCAGGCAGGGCATTGCTGGCCTAGAAAAGCAGGCTTTCCTTCCATCTTCTCTCCGCTACCCTCTTTTTCCTTTTCTTTTTTCTCCTCTCTTCTCTTGTCTTCCTTCCTCTTTTTTCTTTTCTTTTCCTTTTCTTTATTGTAGCACTAGGGATGGAAGCCAGGGCCTCACAATGCTAACCAAGTGCTTTACCACTGAGCTGCATCCACAGTCCTTTTTGATTTTTTTTTTTTAACTTTGAGGCAGGATTTTTGTAAGTTGTCCAGGCAGCCCTTGAACTCCCAAATACTGGGATTACAGGTGTGCTTCACCGCACCTGGTAGATCTTTTTCTTTTTCTGAGATTCCTCCTTTCACCCAACCATCTCTATGCCAGAAGTCCCATCTACTCTCTTTGTGTCTTATGGCTTTGATTATTTTCTTAAAGTCTGTGTAGAGACAGCCCTGGGCTGACCAATACAGACTGCCATGAGTGAGAGTCATTGCCCCTTCAGGACCTCAGTTTTCCCACCTGTAAAATGGAAAGGGTGCTGTGGCAGCTACCTATCGTCATTGCAATGGAAATCATAACTCACTGACCAGTGACCAGAGAGGCCACTGTGTGAGGCACTTCACTGCGTGAGTGTGGTCCTCACCCTGGTCACGCCAGCACCTCCTGAGGAGCATTAGAAAGCAAGGTGGTCTCGCCTCACCCCTAGACTGACTTGGCTGCCTGAGGCGGAACATGGACATTGACATTTCTACGAGCTCGCAGGGCAGCCTCTAGAGGGCAGGCAGGATGGAGAACTGAGGCACTGGGTCATTCTGTCCAGTAAGTGGATGCTGTTACTATCTCCACTTTACAGGTGACAGAGACATGGTTTGCACAAACCCCATTCTACCAGGTGGCAGGACTGGGTCTTGAATCCAGATCTGTCCAGCAGGCTTTGTGTCCTCCTAGCGAAGGGGATGGCTTTTCACTTCCTGCTGCATCCTCTGGGCCTCCCAGTCACTTCCTGCTGTGTCCTCTGGGCCTCCCAGTCCCATAGAAGGCCAAGGTTGAAGCTCAGAGAGGCATTGGGACCTGCCCAAGGTCACACAGCAAGTCAGTAGCTGGAAACGTGAGCTAAGGTCACAGAGTTGGGGAGCTGGGCTGTGCTAGGCAAGAGTACACGGCGGGGGTGGGGCAGCACTGCAGGCTTTTTCTCATCCTTTCCCACTTCCCAGGAGCCATCTGGCTGAAGCAGCAGCCCTGTACAGCCTCGTGGATGAGCAGCTTCATGTCCTGGTCACCGCATCCAACCACCTCCTGGGGAGGCTGGAGCTCCGCATCCGCCTGGGCCGCCTGGAGGCTGCCATCTGCCAGGTGAAAGGGGAGGCTGGCCCCGGAGCCGTGGGCATGATGCTGGGAGCCCAGTCACCGCTTCTGGGCGTCTAGGACTGGGGGTGATATGATCGGCTGCTATCTTGGGCTTTGTGAGGACACAGTGAGTTCATCTTTGCTCCTTAAGACACCCCAAAGGGAGAAGGGAACTTGTGCTCCGGGTGAGAACCCTTTTGTACCCTCTCTCCCTCACTGGATCTCCATGTCGACCCCATTTTACTACTGGTAAACTGAGGCCAGAAAGGGGAAGTGATTTGCTGGGTTCACACAGTGAGTTTATAGCAGGCCCAGACCCCTTCCTCTGCAGCCGATTGCATGCTCCCAGGGACAAGGAGCTCACCACCCCAAGGTCACCCCTTTTACAACCGAGTGGCAGAGAGTGGTTAGGTAGAATGAGCCATGATCCACCACCCTGGCTGTGAGCAGGACACCAGGCAGGCCACATCCCCTCTGGGTCCTGCTTGGCTGGGAGTTTGTTCAGATGGTTGAAGAACGTGCCCTCTCCGTGTCTCTTGCTCAGACCTGGCCAGGTTTCAGTACAGGGTGGTGAATGACTGAGCTCAAGAAAACCTTGGCCTCCTGAAAGTCGAGGAGCTGGCCCAGGGGTGTCTCCCCAGCAGCCCCTCATGTCCACCCGCCCCTGCCCAGGTCAGCGATTGGATGGAGCAGGAAGGGAGCCAGTGTCTGCAGGCACTCACCCCTGAGGACAGAAGCATGGAGACAGTGGCGCGAGCCCATGCCGAGTTCGAGGCCTTCTTCCTGCAGGCTGTGGTGCGTTTCAGAGGGGACGAGAGGGTGCTGGAGGGAGTGGGCCTGCCAGGCCAAAGGGTGCAGGTGCAAAGGAAACTTCCAGAGCTGTGAAGCGTCAGCTGGGACTCCAGAGGACTCAGCTTTGATGTCACCACCTCCAGGAAGCCTTCCAGATGGCCACGTCCAAAGAGCACTCAGTCCTAGAGCAGTTTGTAAAATGCAGATTCCAAGGCCTCACCCCAGACCTGCTAAACCAGCTTCAGGGAATGCGTGGGGAGGAGCCAGAGGCAGAAGGTGCTCCAGCCCGTCCAGCCCTCAGGGAACTCCCAGGACAGTGGGAGGGGTGGGGCTGGAGACAACAGGGACAGACAGAACTGGGGACTACAGAGGAGAAGCCTCAGACACAGACTAGGAGACCGCAGCTTTCTAGGGGGAAGTGCACGGCCTAGGCAAAGGCCTGGAGACTGTCCAAGGCACCATGGCCACCCCTACGTGTCCTTCACTTGCTGAGCCCTGCAAGGGGGTGCTTTAGGGCCTTTCTCTGGATGAGGAAACTGAGGTTTGGGACAGCACTGCAGTGGGGAAGTGAGAGGTGCTTGACCGTTAGGAATCCCCAAGCGGGAGCTGAGAACACCCTGCTCTCCCCTGACAGGCCCAGTACCGCCGCGGCCTGGAGCTGTCCAAGCAGGCAGCCCAACTGGGAGTGGCGGCCGGAGGGGCTGACAAGGCTGGAGGCCAGGGGCTCCCAGAGCTCGTGGCCTTCGCCGCCACCCAGCGGGCCTTCCAGGCCAAGCTGACCCACTTCTACATGGCGGCCGAGCGGCAGCGCACCGATCTCGACACGCTGCTGCACCTGCATCGCTTCTGCAAGAAGGTGAGCCCGGCAGCCCGCCCCACAGCCCCTGCTCCTGGCTGGTGGTGCTGTGGGGACCAGCGGGACCTAGACGCAGCCCTCGGTTCCTTGTGCGACTCAGTCCCACACTCCCACGAGGGGTGAGGGCGAACTGGGGTTGGAACAGACCCCCCACGCCCTTCCCCAGAGAAGAGGAAGAGACAACAGAGCCTCACCCAGGCGGCATGAGGAGGAGGAGAAGGAGGATACAGGAAGAGATTAGGTTACCAGGGGGTGCTGCTCAGAGCCTCCTGTGAAAACCTCACACCCTGACTGGACACCAATGCTGCTCCCATTGCACAGATGAGAAAACCGAGGCCTGAAGAGGGAGTGACATGCTCAAGGCTGCCCAGAGTGTCAGGCATCAGGCAGGATTTAACTTGAGGCCTCCCTCGTAAGGTTTAAAAGAACTTAAACCCACGTAGCCAAACCCCTCATTTTTCTGGTAGGGAAACTGAGGTCTTTAGGGACAAAGCAGTTGCCTAGAGATACAGCATCCTCAGGGCTGGCTCTACCCAGTGCCCTCGGCTGCCCCTCAAACTTGCCACCTGGGACAGAGTGTGGGAAGAGCCTGACCCCCACACCCCAATGTCCTGCTGGCCCTACATACAGGGACAGGGACTGCAGGATGCTTCGGGAGCATGGGGGGGACCCATGCCCAGGGCCAAGGGAGGACAGTGTGCTCTGTCTCCCTGAGGCAGCGAGCAGGGCAGGCAGATGTCAGTGGTGACAACGAAGTCACCACACCCACAGCATTATGGGGCTTAGGGAGCAAGGGGGAGGCAGAATCTGGGCCTCAGAGTCAGGGCCACATGTGCCTGTGTGGGTTGTGCCGCCTCAGCAGCAGTCTGCACCGCTCGGAGCGTGGGCTGCAAGGTGGGGTGATGATGACCGCTGATGCTTCAGGGGCTCTGATATGTCAGACTGTGTTCCAGTCATCTCCTGTCTGTTTTATTTTCCCGCCGTCCCTGTACCCGTGTTATGCCTATTTTACACATGACAAACTAGAGAGGTTGAGTAACACCCAGGGTCACACAGCTGGTGGAGTAGAAGAGCTGAGATTCAAAACTAGACCATCTGGCCTTAGTGCCTGCCCGTCCAGGTAGCGAGAGACGTAGGTTAACTGTCAGTAACCTCCAGCACAGGGCTGCTCAACTCAGGATCATCATGACCATCGTTCTGATCAGCCGGGGGAGGAGTAATGCCAGGGCAGGCGGGGCAGGGCCCCTGGCAGCAGGAAGCTTCTTCCCCTTGCTTGCTTATTTCTGCACTGCAGCCCCAGAGGCCTTCCTGGCATCCACCTAACTTCCTCCAGCTCCAGGGCCTTTGCACACACCGTTCCCCCGCCCGGGGAAGGGCTTTCCTGGCTGGGCTGGCTCTTGTCTTTGCTTCTTCCTCGGCTTCTCCAGGCTGCCCATCCTGATCCCTCTGCCACTCAGCCCTGTTGTCTCATCACCTGCGCTGTCGCTTTGTGGCTCACTGCGATCTGAAACGACCCTGCTGCTTTGTCACCTGCTTGTCTCTCCTGTGCCCCCTTGGAAGTGGCCGGCAAGGAAGGTCCACACTGAGCTGTCCCTGAGGCTCCCTGGGGAGTGAAGAAGAGCAAGGAGAGCAGGCCTGGGTGGCCCGTGAGAGGTGGTGTCTGCCCCAGGCTAGAACTGCACCGAGGGAGGCGGGACTTGATGGTGAGCCCAGCTTCAGCGACTCTGGCTGTGTGACCCAGGCTAGGTGCTAGTCCTCACTGGTCCCGACCTCTTCTCTGTGCCTCATGGATTGGGCCGGATGATTTTCTGAATCAGTTGTTGTCTATTTCTGAATCAGCTGTTGTCTATTTCTGAATCAGTTGTTGTCTATGTTTGTCCAATTTGGCTGGGAAGGTCAAATCCTGGACACAGACAGATGGACAGACAGGACAGTCTACTGGCAGGTTCAGCCCCAGGTGGGCACCTGTGTCTGGCAGCTTTGGCACTAAATAATAATAACAGTATTGTGCCGCTAACAGAGATTTATGGAGCCCTTTCCTGGCCGTGAGCTCCCATGTAGCCACGAATATGAAGCCATTTATCTAAAGACAAGTTCCCTTAATCCGCGGAAAGACGGTCTCCGTGTTGGAAATGGTTCTGCCGTCCCACAGCCTAGCAGCTCAATGTCGGGCTCTAAATTAATGGAGAGAGAGATTAGGTTTTTCATGAGCTCCTGGGGACGTGTGGGCTTCTCTGCAGCCTGCAGATATTTTGCGGAGGAATCAGGGACTAGCAGAATCACAAGATGGACAGGGACCCCACCACAGTGAGAAGCCTCAGGGCCTGGTGAGGCGGACTGACCTGCCGTGCCTGGGCTGGTTTCTCCTTCAGGCCGATTTTTCTCTGCCTGGAGAGAACCCCAGCTCTTCCCTGACTTGCTGTGTGACCCAGGCACATTATTTCACTCTTCCGAGTCTCAGTTTCCTCCTCTGTAAAATGGGCTGCTGGTCCAGTTCACTGGGATCATATAGGAGACCCACAGGACTTGGCAAACAGTCAGCATTTCATCCCCATTAGCCAGACTCCTCCCTCAGCACCACCTAGAGGGGTTAAACCAATCTAAGGGTCCACATTTGCAGCTCTTATGAGGCTTTTCAGGGTTGCTGCAGCTCCCATTTTACAGGAGAAATAACCCCAGAGAGGGTAAGTCCTGCTGGCCCATAGGTCTGTCGAAGGTGCCTGAAGAGCCTCAGGGTGCTGGAAGCTGTTGCCAGGTAGTGGGTGTTTGTAGCCTTGTCATCCTGGTCAGCAGAGGAAATGGTTACCAAGTGAAGGTCTCTAAATTCACAGGCGCTCATCGTTTCAGTAGGATGATGCTCTTGCAGAGAGTGCCCCCTACTCAGACAGGAACCTGTCCTTGCGGAGCCCCACACCCTGACTGCATCCACACCTCCTTCTCTCTTGCCCCTAGATGACCTGGTTCCACATGGACTGTCAGGACCTGGTGAGCCAGCTCAGGCTGGGCAAGGCTAAGAGGGCCAGCCCCGGGGACCAGCGCCGCCTGCACCGGTACCTGCAGCGCCTGGCATCTGAGTTCCCTGCCGAGAAGTTGGCAGCCATGGCACTGCAGGTGGCCTCCCTGAGCCAGGCGGGCCTGGGCCAGGACCTGTGGCAGGAAGCCCGAGGGAGACATCAGGAGATCCAGAGCCTGCTAAAGAAGGCGCTGGCCCACTGCCCGTGCCCGGTGGACTCCACTGCCCACTCGGCACCCTCAGAACCAAGAGGGGCAGCAGCCAAGGGCTGGGGTCCGAATGGAGAAGCAGCTTCTAAGGGGAGGTGGGACCTGCCCCTGCAGGACTCTTTGGGTGTGGATCACTTGCCCAAACCCTGCTGGCCTCCTTGGGCTGCCAGAAGCCGGCAGAGCAGAACCCTCCAGGTGGACCCTCCATGCCCTGGCCAGGTGGTAGGGGCTGATGACGGCAAAGGCTCCCAGAAGCTTCCAGAGCCCACCCTGGAGCGCTCCTGTGCCACCCTCTTCTCCTGGCAGTGGCTCCCCAGGAAGAGCCAGGTCTCCTGTCCTACTGGGGACAGCTTCTCCTCAGAGGGGACAGACTCACAGACATCCCTGGAGGACTCGCCCCAAACAAGTCCACCTGCATCCCTCTAGTTGGAGATGCCCCTCTCAGCACCAGGCTCTGGGGTGGCTGGCACAAGACCCGCTGGAGGGAGAGCTGGTCAGTCTCTCAGAGACATGACCACCAAAGAGCTAGATTGTGCTGAGAGGACAGGACTCGCTCTGGCTGCGGAAAACTCCAGAAAGACCCACTTCTCACACATGCAGAATAGGGGGTTGGGAGTCAGGATCCCTGCACAGTAAAGCATTCATTTCCCCATCACTCCAGGGTCTTCTCGCGGAAGGCCTGTTGGTACAGATGCTGCCGAAGCTCCCGCTCAGGCAGCCTAATACACTACCCCCCTGAGGGACACCGGTGCCAGTGTAGACCCCCTACAGGACACAACACATGGACTCCTGTCTTAGGGTCACCCGGAAACAGACCTGGGACAAGGACCCAAGTGTAAGTGCTTTTGGAGTGACCCCAGGAGCCAGTGGCAGCGAGTAGGAGATCGGTCTGTGATGGGAATAAAGCCACGTTGTCAAGCAGATTTCTGTGTGGGCCGCCAGAGCGCCATCCTGCTGGGGGCCTCTGGGAGAGAGTGAGAAACACTAAAACACAGCCTGAGCCTCCAGGGAAGGTGGGTGGGTGCGTTTAAGGCGCTTAGGAGTTGGCATCCATGGGCCACAGGCCCAGCCTCCGCCTGGGGGTCACGCTGGAGCAGGAGGCCAGCTGTGCCCTTGGCAGGCAAGGGTGAGGGACCCGCTGCAGCTCCATCTCACTCAACTCTTTCGAGGGCAGGGACCCCCTGCTCAGCCAGGCAACCCCACAGAATCTTGTCCTTGTACCTGAACCCCGCCCCCCGCCACCCCAGGTACGCTGTCCTCCTCATCTCTCCGCCACGTCCCCGATGCGGGCTCTCCCATCCCCACCCAGGAGTCCCAGGTTCAGCACAGTATCCTTAGGTGCTGTGGGGGCTGGGGAGCAGAGGGAGCAGTGCCCTCACCAGCAGGTGGTGGGGAACAGCATGAAAAGTCTGGCTCCTGGTAGAGCATCTAGATGGCTCCATGCCTTTCACTCAGCTAGAGTAGCGCCCCCTCGTGCCTCCCCTGAGCATCACGGCCCCATGCGTTAGTCTTCCTCACCAACGCTGGCAGCCTAGCCTGGGTTTTCCAGGTCCCAGATGAGAGTGGACGCACATCGATCCATGAGGCCGTGGAAGGGGAAGGAGTCCAGGGTTTCTCCGGAGTTGTCCCAGCGAAGGGTCACACACACTCAAGGCCCTAGATGGCTGTGAGAATCTCCTGTTAGCTACATAAGATTTCTCCAAGTGCGCTGCGGTCTGCCTGCTTCAGAACCCCGGGTGGAGGTGATCACAAGGCAGCTTCCTGGGGGAGCCCTCCTCAGACAGCTGAACTCGGACTTGTGGTTGGGATGCTGGGGGTGGGTTTGGAGCCACCTGCTTGGTTCTTTCCCGTGCTGCTCAATGAGGTGATTGGGTATCTTAGTCTATTTTGTGCTGTGATCACAGAACACTGCAGCCTGGAAAGTTTGTAAACAAGAGGAGTTTATTTAGCTCACGGTTCTGGAAGCTGGGAGGTCTGAGGTGGAGGAGCCACATCTGGCAAGGGCCTTCTTGCTGTGTCATAGCCTAGCAGAAGGCATCACATGGCAGGAGAGGGAAGGGCGGAAGTCATCCTTTACAGAGAGGCCACTCCTGCCGGAGTCCTCACGACCTGTCACCTTGTAAAGGCCCCACCTCTCAGCACTCTTGCACTGGGGAGGAAATTTCTAACACGTGAACACTGGGGACACATTGAAGCCATAGCAGGGGTGTTGTTTGCCAGTGAACAATCTAGGTTCCTCAGGGGATCACACCCCGAACCGGCTCTGCCTCTTGTTTTCCCTCCCTTGTCTTGTGCATCTGGACAGGCTCAGGGATGCTCGAAGCATTTGATCAGCCGTCTCCATCCATGCCTGTTGCCTCCGGGGAGCGGAGAGGTTGAAGGCTCTTAAAATGCTGCTGCCATGGAAACAGGATGTAGCCAGTGGGGACCACAGGCAGGAAGCTGGAGAACCTGGGGCAGAAGGGTGGAAACTATCGGAGAGAACATAGCTACTTTGGGGAGGAGGAGGCTTCAGGGGAGATGACGGGTATAAGAATCTTTGGGTGGAGGGGTCCCAAATGTCACCTCGTGCATCCTTCTGTCTACACACCAGTGACCTCTCTACATGCAGGCAGCCCCTGGGGGAGGACAGGGCTGCTGAAATGAAGGTAATCGTGAATAATGGTACATGAGTGTCACACTAAGAGCAACATTTGTGTTTTCATTGTGCCTAGCTTTGTGCTAAAAGGCATTAGGGGCTTGTGGAATGCTTCACAAAGGCTGACTTAGGGAAAGGGTGGGCTGCAGGCCAGATGGGCCAAGGCAAGGGAGGGAAAGCAAGAGGCAGAGTTGGGGTGTGTTTCCCTAAGGTGTCCTAGCAACACCCCGATATGGCTTCAATGTGTCCCCAGAGTTCACGCGTTTGAAATTTTCCCTCTTTAGCCGAGCGTGCTGGCGCACACCTGTAATCCAGCACTCTAGAGGCTGACGTAGGAGGATCCTTGTGAGTTCAAGGCCAGCCTGGTCTACAAAATGAGCTCAAGTCCAGCTGGAACTGCATAGCGAAACCCTTTCACAAAAAGACAAAGAATCACCCCTTCTCTTAGGGCTGGCTGTTTCCTGAATCTTTCATTGTCTCTCAAAGCCCAAAGGGGGCTCGCTTAATGGCATTGGAATTCCCCAGAAGTGACTACACAGTTTGAGTCAGCAAAGCCTCAGCCCCAAGGGGTTGGTCTGTGCAGGCCTAGGTCACCATTCCCTCTATGGGACTTCACAACAAAATTTACAGCAGAGGGGCTGGGGATTTAGCTCAGTGGCACAACACCTGCCTAGCAAGCACAAGGTCGTGAGTTTGATTCCCAGTACCGGAAAAAAAAAAGAAAAACAAACAAACAAACAAATTTACAGCAGAAAATGGTGTTTACAAGGAGCCCAAGTCTACCAGTGACATGCTGGAGCAACTTCCATGCAGAAGCCTTCTTCTGGCTTGGGTCAGCAGGCAACGGGGCAAAAGGAGGAGCACTGACCCTCGGTGACCCCAGAGAGGTGGCTTCCCCTGTCTAGGGGCTCGGTTTCCCGCAACTGTCCAGTATGGGCATAGGATGAACAAGGGTCATTCTCACCTTGGGAATCAGAGAGCCCTCACGAATCTAGGTTCAATAGCTGGGTGCCTCTGATATGTGGCTGCCCTCAGCTTCCCCATCCATTCCTGGAGCTTGTCAAGCCTACTGGGTCAGGACGAGATCGCTGGATCCCTGAGCATGACACCGGCCTTTTCCTCTCCACAGAAGTGGTGTGTTGGGAAGGAGCAAAGCTCTGAAAGTGTGCTGGGCAGTGAGGTGAGGCAGGCCCAGGTTGGACTGAGCACAAACAGAAGTCTCGGCGCTTTACCGATTACAAACCATTCTTTTGTCTACCCATTGCCATATCTGAGGTTTGCTTCAACTCTGAGGAGTGCAGGAGTCATACTCTGGGCTGTTCCCATTTTGCAGATCAGAAGGTTGGGCCTGGGGAGGGGAAATGACTTGCCCAAAGTCACATAGCCAAGAAAAGGTTTGCCAGGGGAAACCCCAGGTCTGGACATCCTGATCAGGGCCACATTCCCCCAGAGAGCAGGTACCCATCCAGGAGACCGAGTGCACCTCCACTGGAGCAGTCATCTGCCTGAGGGGGCCCCCACCCCCTTCTGCTCACTAGTTACCCCTCCAGACCCAGACAGGACAGCTGGCCGGGGTCAGACACAGTCTGCCCTTGTGAAACAGAGCTCCTATGTTCTCCAGAAGCTGTGAGCTGGCATTTAGCCCAAGCCAGGCCCATCTGACCTGAAACCCACCCTTTTTCCACTGAAAAATAGCTCTCAGGGGCTGGAGTCCATAGCTCCTGGTGACTCTGGCTCTGGCTGGACAAGGGACTCCTGGGGTCCCATTCCCCAAGGCCCAGGCCACTTGGGGGGCTTTGGGTGGTAAACTCTGTGCCCCCTGAGGTCTCATTTTCCCATCTGTAAAATGGGCTATGACACTGGGATATAATAAGAAGTATATACTTGGTCCCAGGTTCCTGGCTCACTGTCCCTAAAACCCTTGAAATTCCCAGAGTGAGAAGAGTCTTGGGTCCACTAAGGAGATGACCGATGGCCTGTGTAGCATCAGGATGGGAGCTGCTCACCAGAAAGACCAAGGAGGCAGGGTTACGGGGGAAACTCTCGCCCCGTCTCCTCAGTCCTCGGGAGCAGGGAGGGCATGAGGATTGCGTTGGTCACCAATAGCCAATGCTTCTTCAGTTGTGACCCTAGTGAATTTGATATTAAAAAGCCAACAGGACTGGGTCCAGAGAGCTTCCAGGAGCTAAGCGCAGGCGATACTGGGGGCAGCAGGCCCAAGGAAGGCACGGAAACTCCTTGCCCCCTTCCCACATGCCTTGCTGTAGCCTCTTCCATCTGGCTGTCCAGCTGAACCCTTTGTAGTATCCTCTATAATGAGCCAGTATACATTAGCATTTCCCTGAGTTCTATGAGCCACTCCAGCATAGAAACTGAATCCAAGGAAGGGGACGTGGGAACCCCCATTTATAGTCTGTTAGAAATACAGCTGAGAGCTTGCAACTGGCACCTGAAATAAGAAGTCTTGCATGGCTGAGTCTTTAACATGAGGATCTGACTCTCATTCCAGGTAAACAGTGTTAAATTCACTTGAATTACAAGACAACTGGCTGGTGTCCACTGGAGGATTGCTTGGTGCATTGGAGCACCCCTTACACATACACACACACACACACACATACACACACACACATAAAACTATGGGATACAGAAGTCTTCTGTTTTGTGACTATAGAAGAGAGTAGGAAAAAGTGGCTTGTTTTTTTCTTCCTTCAGAGGGCAGATCGAACCAGCTCCGAGATGTAGAGTTCCTGATCTGCCTCTTAATCCTGTCTCCTCTCTACACGTTGACCATCCATCCAGGTCCCAGCACGGAAAGCCACAAGTTGTCCTTGATCTCCCCAGAGCCCCTACATGCACTGGGAAAATCAAAGGAAAAGTGACAATGAAAACAACATTGAAAAAGCCTTTCAAAATAGTCAGGAGGCCACCAAGGAAGGAGAACTAGCACACAGCCCAGCTGTGCCAGGAAGGTGAACTCTGGGAATTTCTGGCCACAGGCTGCCAGAACAGACTATCACACTGTGCCCAAGACTCGGGGTCTGTGTCAGAGGTGCATCAGACTCTTGTTCTGTGGACCTGCATGTACGTACTTTCTCTGTATGTACATCCTTTTCTTTGTTTTCTATCGGTCACATGGCCCCTGCATTTGCTCTCAACTCCAACAGGAGCTTCCCCACAAAAGAATTGCTACTTTGTCATAAATCACGCATAAGCTGCCACCCTTTTTACTTTCTTTGGGATGCTGATTCAGAAATATATAAATTTGAGTCTCCCAAATAGCAA